AGTCTGAGGATATAACAATGCAAAAGAAAAAATGCAAGATACTCAGTCTTCTAGAGTTTCCAGACTACAAAACCTACCCACCTCCTACCTCTTCCCTTCTCTCTACTTCTCCATCCATAAAATGGGTGAAATTGTCCCCCCTCATCTGATTCCCAATTTTGTCTTGTTTTTGATGTGTTTGCTAGGTACCGCACTAAAAAAACATCTTTATCCTAGGAGTAAAAATTTAAAATAACACATTTGTGTTTTCGAAGTTGCTAGCTACAGTTAAACTTTAGCTATGATGCCAAGTTTGACCTAAATAATTTATACATTATTTTCCGATCTCCATAATCACATAGAATACACAGTCTCCCATAAACTTCTTTTTGAAAATCCAAAATGATCTAATTATTATTATCTTTGACATTTTTTATTGATTTATTAGGAAGGTGATCATAATGTCAACTTTATCATTTATATGATTATTTATGTTTCTGAAATACCTATTCCTGTCCTTGGTCCTTTGGTTTTTTCTCTCTTTTTTTTTACTTAATTGTTAATCTCCTTGTTTTAATTTTTTAGACGTCTTTATGTATTAAGGATGTAAACTCTTACACAGTCTTAAATATTTTTATCAATTTTATGACTGCTACACAGATGTTGAATTTTTTTTATTTCTCAACTGTTTTTTTCTTTATAGCTTTGGACTTTGTTGCCATGAAGCTTAAGAGTAAGTCTATCTTGGGTCTCCCCTGGTGGCGCAGTGGTTGAGCGCTGGGCTGCGAAGCTGCCTGCAGCCTCTGCAGCCTCTGCAGCCTCTGCAGCCTCTGCAGCCTCTGCAGCCTCTGCAGTGCCGGTTCAATCCCCGGCCACCGTTGAGTGTCCCACATAGCACGACAGACCTCTCCTGCCACGCCCTCTGCTCCCCTCAGCAGTGTACTTCGTCAGTCTGCCTGTTCTGCTCTCTGCTCTGGCTCCAGTGAATTATCTCACCCTCCTGTGCTTCTGACTGTACCCAGTGCTTGTATAAATAAATAAATAAATAAATCTTTAATAAAGTAAAATAAAATAAAATCACCTTTTACTTTGACCCATCTGGTGAAAATAACCATGTGTCCCGTGATCTCTAGATTTCATCCTGTTTCAACTGCTCTAAGGTTTGAAACTTTCAGTTAGCCTTATACATTTCACCTGCTTTCTTTCTATAAATCTTTTCCTTCAATATACCCACATTTCCTTTTATTTTAAACAGTAGGTGATAATCTCCTGTGACCTCCCCCTTGTTTCTTTCAGCAATCATGCTCTTCCAATGTTCACATTCGCAGGCAAATTTCTTTGAATATTTGCCTATATGTCATCTATAGTTTCCAATCTGCCATTCACATCATATGCAATTCTAGTCTGGCTTATATCATGTAGAATTGTTCTACATACATCATGTAGAACTGTTCTTGTCAGTGATAACTGTCACTTAATCTAATGAACGTCTATTAAACCTCTCCAGTAACTAACAATACTATCCACCAGCTGGTCATTCCCCATTTCTTGAAACTTTTTCTTTTTTAGCCCCTATCCTGTGTCAAAAATGTTCCTGGGTTTCATTCAATTTCTCCAATTCTGCATATCAATCGATTTCATTCTCCTTCATTGGCTCCTCTCCATCTTGCTAACATCCAAACATAAACATTTAACAAAATTTGGTGCTAGGTTCTCTTTTCTCTTTCTCTAGGTGATTGCTTTGATTTCCTGTCTGCAAATACAATCTATAGGCATAGGCCTATATATTCCTAAATTTATAGCTTTTGTTCACAGGATTTTTCTGAAAGCCATACTTTTATATTAAGTGCATCATTCACCTAGTCACTTTGATATCTCAAAGAGACTTGAAACTTCTCATATTTAAATCTGATCTAGGGGGACTCCATGAGATTTTTGAGATAATATAAAGCTACAGCAATCAAGTTAGTGGAACATTAGAAAAAAAAAAAAAACAGATACATAGACCAATAGGCCCATACATAATTGGCAACTGATTTTTGACAAAGATACAAGGTCATTCAATGGTAGAGAATGGTCTTTTCAACAAATAATGTTGAAACAAATAATGATGAATCCATCAATTTTGCTTCTGAAACAGTGCAAGCCCATTTTCTATTCTGCAAACTTGCTATCCAGGTTTGCTTGTTTTACTTGTTTCAAATAATGTTGAAATAATTGGACAACCATATACAAAAGAGATGAACCTCATCCTATACCTCATGTTATATACAAAAATTAATTCAAGATGAATAAAAGACCTAAAAGTAAAACCTAAAATTATATTAAGTGCATCATTCACTTAGTCACTTTGATATCTCAAAGAGATTTGAAACTTCTCATATTTAAAACTGATCTAGGAGGAACTCTATGAGACTTAAAACCTAAAATTATAAAACTTTTAGAAGCAAACATAGGAGAAAATCTTTTACACTTAGGTTTCTTAGCTAGAAGACACAAAAAATAATTACAAACCATAAGATGTAAAAACCAATAAATTGACAATAAAAATTAAATACTTTTGCTCTTTTTAAGACACTGTTGAGAAAATGAAAAACTAAAGAATAAATTAAAATACTTGCAATCCACATATGTGCTAAAGAGCTAGTGTCCACAATATATACAGAACTCTCATGAATCAGTCATAAGAAAACAATCCATTTTATAAAATGGAGGAAAAACTATCAACAGACATTTCACCAAAGCAAATATATATCTGGCAAATAGGCACTTCACTTGATCTTAGCCAAAAGGCTGAGAAGCGATGGCAAATAATTACTTGAACACATATTCAATGTTCTTGGTTTTTAGGGAAATTAAAATTAAAATCATAATGAGATACTATTATATACCTATTCGATGGCTAAAATGTTTTTTTTTTTTTTTTAAATCTGACATTATGAAGTTCTGCTAAGAATGGAGAACAACTGGAACTCTTATACACTGTTGTTGGGAATGCAGAATGGTAAACCATTTCAAAAAATAATTTGGCAGTTTCTAACAATTTACCATGTAACCCATCATTGTACTCCTGTACCCGAGAGAAATGAAAATATATCCATGCAAGAATCTGTATACAAATGTTTATACCAGCTTTTATTTCCCCAAACTGCCAAAAAGTGAAAACAATCCAAATAGGCCTCAACTGGGGAGTGAATAAATTGTGCTACAAAGACCTCTACTTAGTAATAAAGATCTAATGACTGGTGAGTTCAAGCACATGGATGAATGTCAAATGCATTATGCTAAGTGGCAGAAACCAGATTCAAAAGGCTACATGGTGTACAATTTCGTTTATATGACATCCTGAAAAAAAGCCAAATTACAGGGACAGAAAACAGATCCGCGGTTGGGAAAAGGGGGAAGGATGTGTAGAGTGAGAGGATCAGTTACAAAGGACCTCTGGGAATTTTTTGCATTAATTGAGGTGATGGCTTCACAAAAATAGTTACTTGCATAAGTTACACCTCTACAAACTTGACTTTAAAAAAAACTGATATAATGATTTTCCCCACATACATGCCTTTCCCTCATTTCCCCATTTAAAAAAATTGCATTACTATTCACCCATTTTCTAAAGTCAGAAACCTGACAAAGAAACTTGAGACTACTTTCTCCTTGACTTCTACCCCTACTGAATCCCATCAATTTTGCTTCTGAAACACAGTGCAAGCCCATTTCTATTCTGCAAACTTGCTATCCAGGTTTGCTTTGCGCATATTTGCTCCTTGTCAACTACACTATCAAACAGCTTCCCTGCTTCTCTTCATGGCCTCCCCAAACCAATTTTTGCATAATTCTAGAATGATGATTTTAAGTGGAAATTAATCCATGTCATTGCCTTGCTTAAAACTTATCAGTGACTCCTTTTCTAAACACAATGCCTTGGGGTTATTTAAAACATCCAGTGTCCTCCTGTGGCACCTCTATCCTCCTGTCCCTCTTGCTCCACCCCACTCTCTTGATTTCTGGCCTCGCTGGCCTTCCTTCATTGGTTGAACAGTACATAATTTTTTTGTTTTTGCTCTTCCAGTAACTTTGCTCACAATTCCCTGTACCTACAGTCCTCTTCCTCTTGGCACCATATTTTAATGACGAGCTCCTTTCTTCTTAGAGCTTTAGCTTACATATTGTACCTTTTTTTAAAAAAGATTTCATTTATTTATTTTTACTTAAAAGAACTGGGGTGTAGGCCAGAGATACAGGGGTGAGAGGATTCACCAAAGACAGAGTAGGGAGGAGAACAGGAAGACTGACTGAAATACGCTGCTGAGGGGAGCAGCGGGCAAGTCAGGAGAGGTATGCCATGCCATGTGGGTAGCTCCCTGGCCAAGGATTGAACTCAGGCTTTCTCATTGGTAGCGCTGAGCCTTTATCCCTAGGCTACCAGGGAGGCCCACACATGGTACCTTGAAAGAAGTCTTTACACATTTTATAATAGTTCACTTCTGACATTCTCTTTCATAGTACCTGGTTTTGCTCCAATTTGCAATACCATATGTATGAATTAAGTTTATTAATGTTCATCCCCCTACTAGCACATACATAGGCTCATCGGGGACAGAAACCATTTTCTTTTTGCCTCACTTACTTAGAATATTACTAAATAATATTTGCTAAATAATTGTGCATATTAACTAGTCTCCTAAAATGAAAAATATTAACAATGTGATCATCATTTGAATGACCTGGACCATGCACAAGTATATATAATTATATGTATAGTTATAGTTAGGTATGGCTATATGTGGTTATATTTGTATAGTTACATATATATGTATTTATATATGAATATGTATTTTAGGGCCCCTTGAGCCAATAGAATTATATATACATATCTATGTATTTTTAGAACCCCCCCCCCCGACTTAGATTTAATGCATAAAGATCTTACTATATTGCCTGAGTAAATTAAGATCACCAAGTTTCACAACCACGGGTGTACAAGTTGATAACAATGTCAGCCACCCAGAAAGACTTACCTCTCCAAACTAACTGCTTGGCACAGAGAATGGAGCTTGGAGTTGTACAGAAGTGTAAGGCTGTGTGTCCACTTAAGGAGTAGCTATTGAGCTTTGCGCCGTGGTCACAGAGGATCTTAACGCAATCCAAGTTGGCCATTTCACAAGCCACATGAAGAGGGGTTTTCCCATTGGGTCTACAGTTGATTGTAGCATTATGGTCCAACAGCACCAGCAGACATTCCACATGACCAAATAAGACTGAGAGGTGCAGGCCGGTTGCCCAAGAAGACTTTAATTTATAGCTAGGCAACCAATAACCTGAAAAAAAAAAAAAAAAAAGGATACAAAATTTAACTTTCTCCCTGTTTTACGAGGATTTTTGCTATTTTACTTTGGTCACATTTACAGGGAAGGATTTACAAGCTATAAACTAGTAGCTGAGCCTCCCTGGTGGCACAGGGATTAAAGACAGCGCTATCAAGCAATCTCCCTAGAGCACCAGTTCAATTTCCATGCCCCCCCACCCTGCCCACACCTTCCAGAGAGCAACCCACATTGCATAGCAGACCTCTCCTGCCTCACCCACTGCTCCCCTCAGCAGTGTATTTTAGTAGATCTGCCTGTTCTGCTCCCCAATCTCTCTGGTAAATCCTCTCACTGCCCTGCACCTTTGGTTTATACCCCAGTTCTTGAATGCAAAAATAAATAAATCTTTAAAAGAAAAACAACTAGTAGCTGATGTGTCTGCATTGCAAATATTTGGTCTAGTAGCACACATGGATGTACTTAAGTGGACTCTTGAGTTCAACTGTCTACTATCCTCTATTATCTGATTTACTTATTTTGCCTGCTTGACTATAACATTTGCATTTGAGACTATCATTTCTGTGATCACACAGTGATTTACATGAGACTCTTATGGGATTTCTTTTTAGCACCCAATCATTGTTTTGAATGACTCCAAAGCTGTTAGTTACAAGCTTATACATTTCATTCCATCACAGTTCTTTTTCCCTAGATTGTTGCTATTGTTGTCGCTGTAAGGTATGAATGTTTCAATGTTTCTTTAAAATTTGTCATGCCAATATTTTATATACCCAATGTTGTTTCATACAATACTTCATCTTTTGTAGGAATTTAAAGCGACTCACAAATTTTACATATACAAATTTTCTAAATGGTCTGGAATGTAAGGGCAAAGATAAAAAGGTGGGAAAATAAAATAGGTCAAGGGTGAGACAGCTATGCAAAATGTAAATCATGTCCTGTATACTTGAACCACACTGAAAATTCGTCTTTGAACTTCCTAGCAGTCAAAATAAACAAGAAAACATGCTATGTTCCACAATTAACTATGCCTACAAGCTATACACAAATTAATTGATCAGGAAAAGCGTAGGTATTCTTAGAATTGAGATCTTAGATAATATTTCCATTAGGTATTATCACTCTCCCACCTCCATCTCTCTACTTTCTCCCTCTGACTTTTATACACTGTGCTAGTCCCTTTTATCCAAGTCTGCAATGGTTGGAGTATATGACAAGCTATAACAAAGATAACGTTATAAACCTTCATTCAGTGTCAATACCTAGAGCCATGGCATTAAGCTCACTATGAAATATTGATAGCACAATGAAGATGTAGAGATAGCTCAACAGCTTAGAAGAGACTCTAGGGCTGAAACAACAAAATAAATTTTAACATGGATAAATCAAAAGTTTGCTTTTGGCTTATAAAAATTCTTCTCCACAAATACAAGGTAAGCAGAATATGGTTTAATGGTAATTTATTTGAGAAAAGACATAGGGATTTGAGTTGACAGCAATCTCAAAATGAGCCAAGAGTGTATTGGAGCTGCCAAAAAGGTAATAAAATCCTAAGCTACATTAATAAAAGTGTAGTGCCCAGATCAAGAAAAATAAAAGTTGTATTCTTTACTGATTAGATGAGGTCAGAATAAATCTAGAATATTGTGACTACTTTTGGGCACCAAAGATGAACATCAGGAGGGCACTCAGAGGATGAGGGCCTCATTAAAAATGGGTGTGATGATCAAATATAAATATCTCTCATTTAAGTGAAAAACTCCGTGTTTGGCACTCCTCTGCATTTATCCTACAAGTATAATCCTTCATGTATAAAATGCCCTCTAAGCGCCACTGTATTGCACAGCTCCCGGGAACACCATTTACACTGAACAATTGAATATGTAAAGAATATGATATTTCCCTTGAGTGATGATCTTGGCAATCCCCCCGTGGACAAGAAGTTGCAATGTTCTCCACCATTGCTCTTAATGGTTGCAATCAGAAACACCTCCATCTTCATCAACAGGAGACTGTTTAAATAAATTATGGTACATCCACACAATAGAGTACTATACAGTCATTATAAAGAAGGACTCACTCCTATACACACTGATATAGACTGATTTTAAGATATATTACTGAGTAATAGAAGCAGGGAAATGAGCAGCTTGCATAATATGCACTCTGATGAAAATATATTCAAAACATCAGACAAGAATCTGGTTACAGTGGTGGCTTCCAAGAAGAACCGGGGATGTGGGACTGGGCCCAAGTACATAGATTTACTTGTCTTTGAATTTCACCTTTGTAGCTTTTAAATTTAGTAAGTTATACATGTATTATTATTTATAAAAATAAATAAGATTAAAATAAACTATTGCTCCCTTGCTCAGAGTAGAAAAATAATTTAGTTTAAAAAGATCATTTATAACATCATGCACAAGGCTAATTAATTCTTCAGGACTCCAAACTTAAATTTGTTTTTCTGGAGCCCAACCTCCAATCTAGACACACACACACAAACACACGCCCACACACACACACACACACACACACATTTTTTCTCTCTCTCACGCACACACTTGCGTGTGTGCATACACACACACTTTATTTCATCCCATTCAGAACTGTAGGGCTGGGCCTCCCCTGGTGGTGCAGCGGTTGAGCGCTGAGCTGCGAAGCTGCCCGCAGCCTCTGCAGAGCCGGTTCAATCCCCAGCTGCCGGGAGAGGGTCCCATATGGCACACAGACCTCTCCTGCCACCCGCTGCTCCCCTCAGCAGAGTATTTCGTCATTCTGCCTATTCTGTTCCCCGCTCTGGCTCTGGTGAATTCTCTCGCCCTCCCACACTTCTGACTGTACCCAGTGCTTGTATAAATAAATAAATAAAATCTTTAAAAAAAAAAAAGAAAATGTCAGAACTGTAGGGCTGTTTTGCTTTCTCTTCCTCCCACTCCCCATCCCCCACAAACCCCCTTATCCAAATCTGATCTTTAAAAGAAAAACAATCCAAAGTTAATTCCACTAAGGACTAATGGACATATGATTGTTTAAAGTGTAACCCTTTTAGTATTATCTCAATTCTTGTAGGCATCTAAACTCAACTAAAAGAGTTACAAGTTCTCAGAACCTAATTTGAGATTCCGGTCACCAAGAAGCAAAGGTATTTGGCGATATGGACTTTGTGTTGGCAGAGATAAATAGAATCACAGGCAGTTTCGGCTGGGGAGTTTCAACCTTGTACCTCTAACGTATGTATATGTGTTCAGAATGACATACACAATATATGTGTATACAATCATTTATACATTCCTGTTTGACTATGTACATTGAATCTGCGCTTGTAGCAGAATTTTTAAGCTATATATGGCATGCAATCTGTTTTGGCTAATGAATCAATCAGATTAGCTCCAATACTTAATCAATCATTTTAATTCTCGAATTTCCCCAACAAGCAGTTCACAAAGATAGTCTTTTCTAACTGTCTTGAAGAGAAGCTGGTTCCAGATCTGAAAACAGGAGTGTGTTTTGCCTGTCGATTAGCAGCAGAGATTAGGCAGCTCTATGCAGCAACTGATTGGAAACTCATGCCCACTTCTGCAATGAGAAGAAAAATGATCTCGGAAAGGAAGCAGCAGAGAGCTGATTAAGAAAACATCATTTTGATGTAAAATCAAAGAAACACAGAATGTTAGCGCTGGAGGGAAGATTATCCAGTCCAAGCCTTTCATTTTCCAGATGAGAAAACTGCCACTTTTTCAGCCTGCTAGAGCCATAAGTCGCCTGCGTCAGTACAAGCTAATGGACTCAGGATATCTGCAATGCAGGGCCCCCATCTGTCTTTGTCTCTGTGGAAGCAGAATAGGTTTAGTGCCAAGCCTGCTTCACAAATCACGGGGAAGGAGAGAAGATCCCAAATTCATCTATAATATGTCACATCTTTGATATGGAAATGCAGTTGCTTGTTGGTTTTTTTCCTCCTAAATTCCCAATAGTGCCAGAGAATCTATCCTGCCTGTTTATTACACGAATCAGTCATCCTTAGCCTCTCAGTCAGTTTCATCTGTGTCTCCCATAATCATAATCATTAACCAGTAAATGGGGCTCACAAACACCAGGTTCTGGAATTCAGTTGACCCTCTGAATGGATTATGTGTACAGCTCACCTCTTCTAGATGGGAATGTGCATAGGTGACTGGCAATAAGACATTGTAACCTGGTGCCCTTAGGGGGCTGAAGTGGAGGAATGAGAACAGGACAGATTGTCTGCTTTGGATCAGGGTTTGCTGAAGTGCATCTTGAAGCTGTTTTGCAGAACTTTGGTGGTGGTGTGAAGGGAGAGGGTTCTGGATAACTCAGCCCCAAACAGAGCAGGAAAGCCTGCTGTAGACAAAGCAGCAGCCTACCAAACAGAGGGCACCCATATATAATCACCACTTTAAAATGAGGCTGCATCCACAGGTTACTGTGTACCTGTGGAAATGATGGTGTCCTTTCCTAACAACTGCCCTCGCTCCGGACTAAACCTAAAATAAAGCCCGCTTTAAAAACTGCTGATGAGGGCCTCCCCGGTGGCGCAGCGGGTTGAACCGATTCCTGGCCGGCCAGGGAGAAATCCACATGGCACGGCAGACCTCTCCTGCCTCGCCTGCTGCTCCCCTCAGCAGTGTCTTCCATCTGCTGCCTGTTCTGTTCCCCGTTCTGTCTCTGGTGAATTCTCTCACCCTCCCATGCTCTGACTGTACCCCAGTTCCTGTATAAATAAATAAAACTTAAAAAAAAAACCTGCTGATGAGGCTATGCCTGTTAACATGCACTGCAACCACATGTCAAGAGATCAAAATTTGTCTTCCAAAATATAGCCACTGACAGTCACAGCATGACAGAAACACAGTTAAGTAAACAGGCAGTTTCATATTTTACTCTCCCTTCTTCCTACAGCTGACTTGTCCCAGGACTCCAAGACCTAGAAAGTGATTTCTTCTTAGCATTTGCCTTTCAAAGGGCCC